TTGGAGCGAAAATGCTAATTTACAGTGCAAACTGAGCTTGAGGCTGTAAATCCAGATCAAACCTTCACAAATGTGAGTGTAGAAGCAATAAGGTTTGGATATATCGTTTACCTCCGGGCCTGGTTTGTGCATCCCAGTTCATTCAGAACTACAGACTCATTATGGGTGAGAGAAATTATATGTGGAAAAAGAGAAAAGTTGACGATGGAAGGTTCAAAACATTTCAACAAGAAGGTCAAGTTTAACACATCGGACACTGGACAAAAACACAAAATCATCTCTCTTAGATTTTAGTTCTGTGCCTCTAAATTTAAGCTCTGTTCCAAAACTTAGTGAGCCGCCTTGCTGTCTGCAGGCAGCTACTTTCTAAGCCAGCATCATAAATGAAATGGAACAATCTATGTCAAACTAATCATAAAATATGTATAGCATTTCTCATGTAAAACACACAGAAAACACACTCAATACACTCTTAAAAATTAAGGTTCCAAAAGGGTTTTTTATTGCATTAAACATTATAGAAGAACCGATGTTTGAAGAATATTTTGATCTAAAGAACTTTTTGTGCGATGATAAGATTCCACGAATATTAAAGATTCTTCATGGAATCCTATAGGTGCCAGTAAAGAACCTTTATTCTTCAAGAGTACAGCATTAAAAAAATATTCTCTGAGCATAAAAATATGCCTAGTTAAGTAATTATTTAATATGCAAATTACTTAATAATTATCCTGTAATTAGACAGGGCATAATGTGTATTTATAATATATTTATAATACTTACACATAATTTAACTACTATGAATTATTTTAGTTAAAATACACAAATAAAATAACACAGTAGTTTTAATTTTAAAATATTATGACATTTTACATATTAAACGTATTATAGTATTTCACAGAATTGAGTACACCCCTCACATTTTTGTAAATATTTTATTATATCTTTTCATGTGACAACACTGAAGAAATGACACTTTGCTACAATGTAAAGTAGTGAGTGTACAGATTGTATAACAGTGTACATTTGCTGTTCCCTCAAAATAACTCAATACAGCCATTAATGTCTAAACCGCTGGCCACAAAAGTGAGTACACCCCTAAGTGAAAATGTCCAAATTGGGCCCAATTAGCCATTTTCTCTCCCCGGTGTCATGTGACTCATTAGTGTTACAAGGTCTCAGGTGTGAATGGGGAGCAGGTGTGTTAAATTTGGTGTTATCACTTTCACACTGGTCACTGGAAGTTCAACATGGCGCCTCATGGCAAAGAACTCTCTGAGGATCTGAAAAAAATAATTGTTGCTCTACATAAAGATGGTGTAGGCTATAAGAAGATTGTCAAGACCCTGAAACTGAGCTGCAGCACGGTGGCCAAGACCATACAGCGGTTTAACATGACAGGTTCCACTCAGAACTGGCCTCGCCATGGTCGACCAAAGAAGTTGAGTGCACGTGCTCAGCGTCATATCCAGAGGTTGTGTTTGGGAAATAGACCCAATGCTGGTGCTGCCAGCATTGCTGCAGAGGTTGAAGGGGTGGGGGGTCAGCCTGTCAGCGCTCAGACCATACGCCGCACACTGCATCAAATTGGTTTGCATGGCTGTCATCCCAGAAGGTAGCCTCTTCTAAAGATGATGCACAAGAAAGCCCGCAAACAGTTTGCTGAAGACAAACCTCAATCCGGTGTGGCATAGAGGTGATCAGGCTGAGGTGGTATAGAAGCCCAGGTTTCTTTGACAGTGACCTTCAGCTCATCTGCATTTTTTGGTCTCTTGTTTCTCATTTTCCTCTTGACAATACCCCATATATTCTCTATGGGGTTCAGGTCTGGTGAGTTTGCTGGCCAGTCAAGCACACCAACACCATGGTCATTTAACCAACTTTTGGTGCTTTTGGCAGTGTGGGCAGGTGCCAAATCCTGCTGGAAAATGAAATCAGCAT